TTGTAGACTTTTATAACTCCCTTGAGTTTTATTATGCCTCTGATGCGGTCCAAACTAGTCTTAAAGACTCCTCAAGCACGCTCACTTGGATTCCTCGGTAATAGTAGAGAGCTCTCTTACTAATTGACGAGACAACCTTACAAAAGCTTTGTGATCCCCACTTAACACACTGGTTCCGGGCACACGTTACTTATGTCTGCGAAGAAAAGTCCTTAAATTGATTACAAACTTATCCACTACCTCAGATGCTACTGGGAGTGTGACAGCTGGTCAACGCGGGGGATAATTCCTTCTGTTTCAGCCTGCGCGCGTCCTCTTTTTATACTATTCTATGTCTTCTATTTATATTTATATGTCCGTGCGTTGTCCGAGAGGTCGGACGAATTAATACTGAATTTTTAGTAAAGGTTTGAAGTGGCTCGATTGTGCGTGGCACAACTGAGCTGACTTCTTTTAAGTTTTCATAGTGTTTTCTCTATTGTGGCAACGCGACGCATCAGTATTGATGCGTACACGGGAATCGCCGTAAACGGTTTTCACGATCGGTTCAGCCAAGACGAACGGTCCGCTTAGTGATTTTCTCTCTATTATTAGATACTATGCCCGGGCCTCGGACCGTACGGCAAATCGTTCATAGTTTTTCTCTTTTGGCAGACTTCGGAATATTTCACGAAGCTTAGTTTTCTTGGGTCAATGATGCCATGATTTGTGATGCGCGTGATGCGCATGATGCGTCTCTCCACATGACTTCTTGGATCATGCTTCGTAGCACGTGACCGAATGACTTCTCGCGTCAGGTACGCGTCGAGTTTCTACGCTCGCGCGTTTATCTTTAGAATTAATATCTTTTAATCCATAATAAAGTGAGACCCTGGTTTGGTGTAAACTCCAACACCCTGTGCGGGGGTGTTTTTACTCTAGAACACTCGGTAGCGTACTATTTCATGGTAGTGTAGCCTTTTATTAGACTTCGAGTATATTGAGGTGATTCGGTCACGAACCGACCGCAATTCCTACTGTCTAAGGTGTGCACATTTCTCGGATGTAAACTTTAATTGACTAGACCGGGTTGCGTCTAACGATCCTTATGATCAATGTGACTGTATTTCTACTATAGGAGGTTTTATAGGAGAAATCGCTAAAATTCGCATTTTTACGGGTGTATTGTTACACTCCGTATCAGCTGGTGATTACTTTTCCGGTGGAGAATTGTCGTGAAGAATCAGTGACATACCACTTGACAGTCCTTCTGCGAAATTCCATTCATTAAGCTTTCAACAATAACTATCCTCCTATATATTTCTATTCAATGTCGACTATCAATCTTGTATTTTTTGCAGTACTTTACTGTGCCCTACCTATTCCTGTTGGACTCCGGTCATTCCAGCGAAATCCGGTGGAATGGGACAGGACTCCGGTGGAATGGGACCTGAATCCAGTGGAATCCACCGGAGTCCAGCAGAGTCCAGCAGATTCCAGCAGATTCCACTGGATTCCAGTTGAACAAGACCACAATCCACCATAAATAGCAGTACTTTACCCTTCCCCACATGCTCTGATCAGCACTGATCAGAGTTTCTACAATCAGAATGGATCAGCACTGAGCTAGAGGTCAGGTGACTTAATCTGCATTGATGCAACTCCTCAATACTCAGAATTTCTTACAGAATTCACACCTAGTCAAGTCATACATCTCAATAGATCAATTTTTAATGTATTTTATTAATGACATAAGATCTATTTTACTTAGTGCTTGGAAGTTAAGTTAATTAACTGGAAAATAACCGAGACCAGACCGGACCTAACCGCAAAAAAACCGGACCGCGGTTAGTGGTTAGTCAATTCTGGAAATGAAATAACCGGTTATTTTGCGGTTAACTAACCGTTAAAAAACCGGTTATGACCGGTTACAACCGACCCTATTATTCCCCTTCAAAACGCATCTAAAAGCATGAGGAACGCTAAAAATCTGACAGAGTTATGGTCAAATCTCTAAATTATTGGCTAAAATAGTAGGCTTTCAAGAATATTATTATAAAATTGTCAATTCT